GTTTGTTTCTACTCTAAATAGCCCCTACACATAGCCTCTGTCAGATGCGTCCGGTCTGTGCAGCTGCCTCCTGGGCTGCACAGTTCGCTAACTCTGCCTCTCTTTACTGAAAGGTGCAAGAAGTTTTTGCTGAATGCTGCCTCCATCCCTTGAAATGGATCGCTGCTGCAATAACAAACAGAACAGAAACCAAGATTCTGGAACCTCCTGCGAGTTCTTCATGGTGACTGAACTACACTGTTAGATATTTTGTACTTCAGAATAGCAACGATGAAGGTCATTCACGTGTCATATCTGGAGAACTGGGGCACGACAGAACCCAAGCCTCTTTTAATTTTACCTTAACTCATCCTCACCTTTTCTCAAGTCTCCTAATACCGGCCATGTTCGCGACATTCGATGGATCTGTATCAAGTCAGCTATCCGAGAACACGCAGCGCTCTTGCACACACTCAGCGGGCTCGGGACAAACCTGTTCTCTGAAACAAATGCGTTTAGTAACCTAAACTAAGAGACAGAGGGTGCACCCGGCTTCCCTCTGGGTGTGCCCCTCCTGGCATGGCTCTTGCTGCCTGCATCGGCCCTGGGGCAGAGAACCATGTCCTGGGGAGGCACTCAGGTCCCCGAGGCTGTAAGTCAGTCTGAGGACGCGATGAATCCCATCCATGCGAATCCTGAATCCCATCCATGCGAATCACCGGGCTGCGATGATCTTAGGTGTATAAACAAAATGTTTGTTGGAACTTCTAACAAAAGCCCATTCTTTCTGTGCCTGTATAAATGAAGGTCCCAGCTCCCTGCAATTTCACTGCCTCTGACACTTTTCTTTATAATGTAAAACAAAGGTTTGAGTCTCTGGAAATCTTTTTAAAGGAATGGCCCTGTTTCTTTTTAAAATTAGCTGAACAGAATCTGACATGCAGAATGCACACTAACACCCAGAGAACCCAGAGACTGGGGCTCTGCATTTGGGCTGGCAACGCATGTTTCTCTGCATGTTAACAGCTGGGTGGTGACATGGTGCATGTGCACTTGCCAGAGAGACAGAGACAGAGAAACAGGAAAAAAAGAAATCATCCCGAAGGGGGTTGGCCATGCCACGATCCCTACTCCTCCATTTCCCTCTTGGGATCTTGGACACACATGCACATATGCCCAGCATGAGTTTGAAGCTACTGGGTCCGGGACTCAGACTGCAGTTGGCCATGTGGGAGTCCAGGAACATAACTATTACGCCGTCTGCTGGTCCCTGCAGATACTGAGAGACTGCAATGGTGTCTGGCTTCCTCTCTAGAAGAAAAATGCTAAAGCGACGAATACCTTCTTTTCTTTTTTTCTTCTTTGGAGAGGTTTTTGCTATAGGGCACGTGTGCTCACCAGAAAGACAGAGAGAGACAGAGAGACAGAAAGCGAGAAATCACCACCCAGGGGGGATGGCCACGCCGCAATCCCTTCTCCTCCATTCTCCTCTTGGGATCTTGGGCACGCACGCACACGCGGCCGGCGTGAGTTTAAGCCACTGGGTCCGGGACGCGAACTGTGGTCGACTAAGTGGGAGTCCAGTGACATAGCCATTATGCTAACTGCTGGTCCCAAGTTAAATAAATAATTCTTTATAAAAACAATAGCCTTAGGATGATCCAGCTAACAGGAGGAACTGATCACGTGTCCAGATATGCAGACCCAGGAATGCCAGCATCTCGGGCTCAGTGGGTGGGTGCCCTGACCCTGTGTTAGGTGTGTACCATGTCCCCAGTCCTGGAATGAGACTGGCCCCTGGGCCCCGCCCTGCAGGGAACCATGAGACGCGCTGAGATCTCTGCCAATGCAGAGTGAACGGGAGCAGAGGGAAGCCCTGACCGTGGTGCAGTCTGCATAGAACAGGTGGGCCCAGTCAGCCGTGCACGGCTCGGCTCTGACGTGACGGGACAAGCCGCACAGCCCAGATACCCTCATTCTGGACAGCCATGGTTGCAAAGGGGTCTCGCGAGCCGGAGAGACTGTGGGAGCAGCAGCTCACCTTGCTCAACCCACCCCTGCTGCCGGCACTTCCCACAGTATTTGTCCAAGACGAGCCACGGGGGGCGCTAGTGGGTCCATAACACTGCACCAGCCTGCAGCCCTGGGCAGCCAGGCCCAGGAGGCAGGGCTTGAGGTGCCCTCCCTGTGGCTCTCAGTCTGTCTGCACCACCTGGCAGAGCCACCTACAGCGGTAACAGCTCAGAAGTCACAGCAAATCGAACAGGAGTCTGACACTCCCTGGGAGGCCTAAAAAGCCATGGGAGGTTGTCATTTTGCTTTCTTAAAATCAGGATGCCATATTCGAGTGGTTTGCATTTTTTAATTTGATTAACTGCTTTGTCTTTTTTTGAAATTGTTGCTCTAAAGAAATTACCCTAATATGATGTATGCACATTCATTTTCAAACTCCGAGACTCACCTCAGTAGGAATCCTGCCATCCATTCTGTGTAGCCCTTGGGCAGGTGTCCAAGGGCTACACAGCAAAAGCAGGTGGAGCTGTAATTATTGCCACTTCCCTTCTCAAGAACGGAGACCTGACAACATTCCGCAACTACGCTGGGCTCCACAGGTAGTTCATAACCGGCTCTAAGCCCGAGGTGTTCTGATTCTGAAGTCTTGCTCATCACGGAGACCCCCGCCCCGGAACTGACGGCTGGTGCAGGCCAGGCAGAATGCCCCGACTCAACCTAATCCTGCCAGCAACAGCACCCGCGGAATTGGATCTCTCACCATTAGGCCATTTTGCAGGGAAGCCAAAGAGAAGAAGTGACTCGTCCGATTCTGCAACGATGTTAAATGATGGGATTGGGTGTACCTCTCAGGGTGTGACCGCAGGCCCGTGGAGGGGAGCCTTAGCTACCATACTAGCAAGTGAGCACACACCACCTGATATTAAGATTCTGCTTCTAGATATGCGAAAATGTCCATCCTATCTAATGTCTGGACAAGACTCTGCAAGCCAGTCTCACTGCACAGGCCTGGTTACATCATGGCCTGCTTAAGTTCAGTGGCACTGCCTCAAGAGAAGGGAATGGGCATTTGCTAAGACCACATTCTCACTCTCACATGGGAACAAGCTAACTGTATCCAGTTAGTTTTAGAGAAAAGTCACCCAAGATGTTAAAGAGGTCAGTAAACAGAGAGTAAATATTGCATTACAATGACTGAGTACTGTCTGACTTCTACATTGTTTCCTTAGTATCCCAAAATTAAACTATATGCAAAAGGCATCTAATAAAGCTTTCTGCCCCCAATTGTAAGGAACTAATTAAATCTAACGAGACATTAAACATTCCAAGCAGAAGCAGAAATTCTTTATGGTCAGTGCTAGCTGGTGTGTGCGTGTGAGCAAACTGTTCTCACATTTCACTTCCTCACGTACACAAGATAGTTTGGGTCATAAATTAAAACTAATTAAGATTTTATCATGATCTCTTATGTGGATAACACACAAAGCATTAGACTATACTAACCCATTGAGGAAGAAAATTAGTCACGATTTCGTCAGCCCCTCTTGGAAGCATTGGCAACCTCAGGCATACTGCTTTTCTCTTGTTCGTTTAGTTACTTACTTAATTTCACTTGTTATTATTATTTTAATTTGCTACAGGGCACATGAGCTCACTAGAGACACAGAAAAAGAATGGGACAATGAGAAAGCGAGCTGCCGGGTCTGAGCCTCGAACTGCAGTTGGACACATGGGAGTCCAGTGTGACCACCACGTCACTGCTGGCCACGGAGCTTGGCAGTCAGCTGACTTCACATTCATTATCTCCTTTGACCAAAGATAAGTCCAAAGTTATCTTATGAATTAGGCAAAGCAAAAACTACTCTTCTCATTTTTCTACATAAGGAAGCTGAGGCCTGGAGGTGAAGAATTATTGGGGGGAAAAACGCCCCAGAGCTGGAATTAAACCTCTGGCTCCCCCCAACTATGGCTTCACTTTCTCTGGTTCCCCCCAACCCATGGCTTCACTTTCTCTAGTTCCCCCCACCCATGGCCTCACCTTCTGTGGCTCCTCCCCACCCATGGCTTCACCTTCTCTGGTTCCCCCCACCACCCATGGCTTCACCTTCTGTGGTTCCCATCCACCCATGGCTTCACTTTCTGTGGTTTCGGTTACTTGTGGCCAACCACAGTCTGAAAATATTCCTGGAAAACTCCAGAAATAAACAAGTCATACGTTTTAAATTCTGGGCAGTGTAATGAACTTTCACACTGTCCACTCTGCCCTGCGGGAGCTGTGAATCACCCTGGCCACCACCTGTCGGTCACTTAGGAACAGTCTGGTTATCGGTGCTTGGCACAGACAGGATGGGGGTCAGCACTGCCCACGTTCCAGGCAAACCGTAGGGCATGGGAAGGCATAAGGCAACGGCCATAGTCCCCTCTCCACAACACGACAAGGCCACGTGTGGGGGCCCAGCCGCAGGGCAGCACCACTGCCCCGTGGGAGGCCACCTTGGACCCTCTGGAGTCATGGCTAACAGGCAGCTGGGGCAGGAGGGTGGCAACGTGGCAATGCCCTGTCACAGTGTCCCCTCTGCTCTCACCCTTCCCACACCCTCTTTGAAAAGGAAAGAGAAGAAAATGCAAAGCCTGTAAGCAGTCACCTCAAATGCGCTGTTTGGTAAAATGACAATAAAATTGAAATATCTCAAAACATTAAACTAGTGCAACTTTCAGGCTAACACCGGTGCCATACCTCCGCGGTACTGAAGGACCAGAGGACGTCAACATGCCCCAGGGACTGTTTTCATTCAGGTAAAAGAGGTGCGTTTCCACATGTCTAATTCCGCAGCACAGACACCCAGGTGGCACCGGGCAGACAGACAGACAGGACATGCTGTAGCATGCCCCTCCTCTGAGGAGTGAATGTGGCCCTGTCACACAGCGCGGCATGAATATGGCTGGTCTGTGTGTTGTTCATCCAGACAGCGCGACCATGCAAACAGCCCCGGGTAAGAAACACCTACCCTGAGGAGCCTGGGGTCCTGCGTCATGCCGGGGACGGAGACGCTGCGTTCAGCCCACGGTCTGGGGTTGTGGTCGCCACGCACACCTAGACAGACAGGAGGAGCCAGTCAGTCACCAGTACCATGCAGGCCTGCCCAGAGCACCTGCCACCCTGGGCGTAACAGTCATCGCAGGATGACGCCGGGCCAGCCATCCAGAGGGACTTCGACTTACATCCCGGCTCTGACCCGGTGCGGACAGCTGTGGGGCATCCTGTGTGGACAGAAGACCATGCCTAGGACGCCGTCAGCACAGGATAAGCCGGCACACGTCCTGGGAGGCGGTGCAACTAACAGGTGACAGCTCAGCCCAAAACCAAACACCGCTGTAGGCTTTCCTGGGGCCTGTGAGCTGCCCTCCTGCCTAGGCGAGAAACTTCACTCAGCCCTCATGGCAGAGCAGACGAGGCCAGCACACAGCCAGGAGCTCAGAGTGGGAAAGCCATGGGCCCAGGACTGCCCCCATGGGACTCGCTGCGTCTGCGTGTTAGTGAAATACGCGGTTGCCATGCCCCACGGCAGACACAGAGCCCCCTGGCTGCTCCCTGTCTGCCCTGTAGTCCTCTGGAACATGGGCTGGCTCCGCTCATCCCTGTAGGCCAGGACACAGCGAGGCCTCACTTTGGACTAGAGCAGGACACAAGAACACTCCCTAAGTGAACAGCTGATGGACAGAAACCACAGGAGTAGGCCTCAGCACCTTGTGGGTTTTTGTTTGTTTGTTTGTTTGTTTGTTTGGGTTTTTTTTAGATTTTTGCTATAGAGCACATGCACTTGCTGGAGAGACAGAGAGACAGAAAGTGAGAGATCACTTCCCAGGGAGAATGGCCATGCCACAATCCATTCTTCTCTTGGGATTTTGGGTATGCACACGCAAGCACCTCACATGAGTTTCAAGCTACCTCGTCTGGGACTCGAACTGTAGTCGGCCATGTGGAAGTCCAGCAATGCAATTATCATGCCATCTGCTGGTCCCAGTTTGGTTTACTTTTAATTTACTTGCCAAAGTTATCTTCCTGTTTGCAATACAACCTAAAGAAGAAAGGCAGGGAGAAGCACTGGAAGACCCCGAGTGAAGTTTGAATGTGCCATCAGCTATCACACACCAGGTAACAGTGCATTTCATTTAGCTCTGGAGGCCCTTGGGAAATAGGAAAAGGTTACATAGCAAAGACACCTTCCAGAGAGAAAGCAAATCCCCGGCTTTGAGCTCTTGGCTTGCTAACGGCCCCCACACCTCGCCTGGTCCCGGTTACTGCGAAGGACAGGCCAGCCCAGGGCTGGAGAAGTTGCTCTGGGGTGCTGGTGCCGGGTGCAGTCAGACCCCGAGGGAAAATGACCTTTAGACAGCCCCACGCTGACACAGCTTGTTCTACCTCGCCCGTGGCCCTAACAACCCACACGCTTGCAGTTGGCAACAGCTGCTGTCGTTTCCTCGGGTCCTACACCCCGACCCGGCTCGGGAAGCAGCCGGCCACACAGAGCCATAAACCGTGAAGCACCTATTACCATAGTGGGTAAGGAGGTGAGGTTGACAAAGGGAATTGAGACAAATCTGGGCTGTGAAGATACTGGTGTGGGCTAAAATCACAGTACAGATGTTAGGTCAGTAAGAGTTAGACTGAGATGGGGGCAGTGTGTGACTATAAATAAGTTATTTGAAGTTCATCAATTTCTTTGAAAAAGTACAAATTTCTTGAGTTGAAATTTACGTTAAACAACGTGAGGCAGCCTGTGCATCGTGGCTAAGGCAGCTGGATACCACGTGGCTGAACATGCGGTTCGAGTCCCGTATCTGGTGGCTTGAGAAACAAACCAGGTGTGTGCCCACAAAGGAAGGAAGTGGAGGGGACTGTGGCTGACCACCCCACAGAGGTGTTTTCTCACTGTCTCTCCACGAGCCATGCACCCTTGGCAAGATTTAGAACGACGGAATGTAACCTGTGTAAGTGCTGGCTGCTGGCCATGGCTAGGCCTCCCCATCCGCTTTCTCCCCTGAGCAAGGGAAGTCAGTGTTTGGTAAAAGCTGCTTGCCTGTCTCTATTCTGTTATTGGGGAAGGAAACATTTAGAAGAAGATTTTTTAAAGAATTATTTATTTAACTTTATGATTATTATCATTTTAAAAATTTGCTACAGGGCACGTGTGCTCACTGAGAAAGACAGAGAAAGTGAGAAAGCAAGCCTCCAGGTCTGGGACTCAAACTGCGTGGTCAGCCATGTGGGAGTCCAGAGCCCTAGCCACCACACCTGCAGCCCAAGAGGCAGATTCTTTTTAAAAAGCATTACTGGGGAACCAGCAGTTAGCATAATGGCTATGTTGATGGACTCCCACGTAGTCGACCGTGGTTCGCGTCCCGGACCCGGTGGCTTAAAACTCACGCCGGGTGCGTGTGCGTGCGTGCCCAAGATCCCGAGAGGAGAATGGAGGAGAAGGGACTGCTGTGTGACCATCCCCCCTTGGGGGGTGATTTCTTGCTTTCTGTCTCTCTGTCTCTCTCTGCCTGTCTGGAGAGCGCACGCGCCCTATAGTAAAAACCTCTTAAAAAAAACTGTTTTAAATTTCCTTTGAAATGCAGTCATTTAAGCCGCTTGTCCACATAGGGTAGATGTCGTCTGTGCTAACACAAGCGGCCGTCACGACCGGGTGCTAAGGCTGTGCGCAGAGGCTAATATGCCTCTGTCAGGACAGACTCCACGTGTGCTGGGACGGGGTTTCAGGCCCCAGAGGTCTGGACTGCGGTCAGAGGCTCCGCTGGCCCTTCAAGTACGCACAGTGACAAACGAGACAGATCTCAGCATGTTTTTATGACGTGGCCGAGAGAAGACGAACGACTCAAATGTAAAAGAAATTCCATTCACCCAAATTCCAGGGACTGCGGTGAGCGAGGCCGAGGGACGCGGAGGGGGCTGTGCCAGTTAGAGCTGGGCTCGGCTGACCAGGCTCCCGAGGAGGGGGCGGTCGCACTGCCGTGTGGGAGCAGGCTCTCCAGACAGGAAGGGCTACGGACGAGAAGTGCGCTTCTAAGTTTGTATTTTTTAAATTGCTAAAAAAGAAAAGCCAAATTTAGAAAAACCCCTTGACCACCAGTTGACGCCTCCAGTATGCTGTCAAAGCTCACGGGCAGAGGCAGGTGCTGCTGCGGGCTCCGGGCCGGGCGCGCAGGGCTCAGGGGTGCTCGCCGTCCCCGCGCCGTCCGACCGCTGACCCCTGGACTCTCCCGTCAGTCAGGGGTCCTCCGGCCCGTCTGACACGCGCACACGTGGCCGCTCCCACGTGCTGCTGGTGCCTCCACGGTGGATTCTGTTTCTGGTTCTACCTCGAGCATGAAGTCAGAATTTCCTAATTACAGCTGGACAGTGGCAGAGACGCATCAAATGAGAATTTAAAAAATAACCAAATGCCCGTTCGCACGCTGGGGACAATGGACTCAAGATACATTTTTATCGCAAACCATACCTGTCCCTGATTACTGGCACCTGCCGGCTTCTCTGTAACGTCTAAACGGTGTTTTCATTTGTGGGACGTCGCTGCCGGGAAACTGTCCCCTATGGTGGCTGCCTGGGGCTGACCTCTTCAGCCTGCGTCTCTCCATCTCTCCATCTCTCCAACAGGGCTTCCGAGCTGCCCCTGGGTGTTCCGCTTGCCTTCAAGGTTTCAGAATCCTCAACCTCCAGGTGCCCACGCAGCGGGGCTGAAGAGACCGTGAAGCTACGCTGAGCATCTGGATCCCAGGCTCGCACCTCCCACGGCGCCCCCTGTCCCAGGGTGGAGCGAGAAGCACCTGGTGTGCACAGGCCGGCTCAGGGCCAGGCTGCGACCTCTCCCTCATCTGTGGAGGCAAACCGTGGGCCCAGAGCCACGCCAGTACACGCCTGACCAGCAGACAGCACTTTCTAAACCCATCTCCCGCAGGATGCAGGCTACTGGACAGCCCAATCAAACAGCTTAGCAGCAAGTCCGCAGAGGCGATGGGCCAACCTGTGCACCTGCGACAGCGGGGACAGAGGTAGACGCATCACCCTGAGGACGCGGAAAGGTCTCCGGTCACGTCAGCACCCGCTCGGCTCTGGGCAGGCCGTGTGCAGACCACTCACAATGAGAAATCCCCCTCCAGGGGCGTTGGCCACGCCGCAATCCCTTCTCCTCCATTCTCTTCTCGGGACCTTGGGCACGCACGCACACGTGCCCGGCGTGAG